GTGTGGGGCCCATTCCGGCCCAGGGGGAGGGGGGGTACCTCTAAAGGAGAACCTTTGTAGCTCAGGGTTGAACTGAGGGGTCCTTGGGGGGTCCTTGTATTATTTTATTAGCCGCCTGGAGTCCTCCAGGATTGGGTGGCATACAAATCCATTAAAATTGAAATTACCTGACTAGATAACATCATCCGTGCTCGAAGGGAGGTGGGCTTGGGAGGAGGAGGAAGAGAACGATGACTGTGGGGTCCTTGGGGGGTCCTTGTATTATTTTATTAGCCGCCTGGAGTCCTCCAGGATTGGGTGGCATACAAATCCATTAAAATTGAAATTACCTGACTAGATAACATCATCCGTGCTCGAAGGGAGGTGGGCTTGGGAGGAGGAGGAAGAGAACGATGACTGTGGGGTCCTTGGGGGTCTCGGAGCTTGGAAGTTTCCTTGCAGATGTTTCACGACCCAGCTAGGAAACGTCATCAGTGCTAGAAAGGAGTGGAGGCTGCTCTCGCTTCATATTCTGCTGGCTTCCCCTGGGTGGTCTCAGTTGGCTTGCTGGGCAGTTTCCTTGATTGTTGGTCTGGTGTTAATTTTGGTCTGATTGCTGGTGCGTGTGTGTGTGTGTGTGTGTGCGTTTTGGCCTCTTTGTTCCCTTTTTCGGCGGGTGGCTTGTCTCTTCTGCACAGGATGCAGGTCTCCTTCATGGGAGCCTGTGGGGGGCTGGCTGGTGAGAGAGGGCCCACACAGACAGGGGGAGGCCCTAGAATGGAGACTGAGAGCAGCAAAAAAAACCCCTCCTTCCCTCCTACCACTGATGACGTTCCCTAGCTGGGTCGTGAAATGTCTGCGAGAAAACAAGGCCCTTCCGAGAGCACCAGGGACCCCCCCGGGAAGGTTCCCGCCTGGGTAGTGGCTTCCTTGGGGAGGGAGGGGGAAGGGGGGGGAGTCTGCCCGGCCATGAGCAGTCTGGCCTTCCTCCCTTCAGCTGCCCTCCTCTTCCTCGTGGGGCCAGCAGTCCGTCAACGCCTCTTCTGGGCAGAGCAGCTTCAGCCTGGCCGACCTGCAGAAGCTGGGAGACAGTCGGACCTGCAGGGAACTTCGGGAGGAGGTGAGCCCGGCCCCCTCCGGCCTCCCCCCACCCTCCCCCTAGGGGCCTTGGGCAGAGGGGTGGGATGAGCGCCGGAGTCGCCTGCTCATCTCTCTCTCTCTCCCCCAGTGCCGCCACCAGGAAATACTGCAGAAACTCCTGCAGCAGCAACAGCAGAACACGCAGCCCCTCTGGGGGGGCCTGGCCAAGCAGAGCCCCTCCCTGAAGGCCCTGCTGGAGTTGCAGCAGGAGAGCGACAGGCACCTGCAGAAGCCGGCCCAACCCCGGGGTCAGCAGCGAGCGGTGAGCGACCCCTGGACGAGCAGACCGGCTTTCAGGGAGCGGGAGGAGGGGTTTCCCTGCAGCTCCTCTGAGAAGGAAACCAGCCCACCCACCCTCTGAGTCAGCACCAGGCCTCCCCCCCCAGTCTCCTGGCCTACTCTCACACCATCCACCCCCTTGCTCCTGCTTGCACCCCCTCCCCCCCAGGTCAAGAATGTCAAGGTTCCAAATAGCATCCAAAATTAAATCAGAGTCCCAGGCAAAGGATTCCTCAAAGTTCCCATTGATGAAGAGAGCCATGTTGGCACATCTGGGAAAACCCGAATCTGAAAGCTTCCCGGTTCTCCCCACCCAGTTGGAAGTTCAAGATCTTGCCCCCCACAACACCCACAAGTCCATCCCACGGTCCAATCTCCCACTCCATGCTGGCAGTTTCCACCCATCCAGTTCCAGTCAGGTGCAGAGGTGCAGAGAGAAAGGATGACCCTGGTTTTCTAGAAAGAATGTTGTTATGGCTACCTAGCGTCTAACTCAGTACAATCCCATTTCCCCACCATAGAAAAAGCATTGTAGAATAATAGACAGTGTGGCAGGCCAAAGACCCACAAGAAAAGATGGCTGCAGGCCTGACAAAGAGGACCTTTTGGGGGGGGGGCTTGCACCCGAGGACAGCCCCCGCCCTTTACCTAGCGGGTGTGTGCTGGGAAGGGACCGTGCTTTAAGGAAAGGAACCGTTTCAGGGCCTGGAGAGACTCCCCATTGGGCTTCCTGCTTTAGGGGTCCCAACTGTTTTTTCCCCCCCTCTGTTGACGCTCCCCAAGAGCTCCTGGTGACCCCTTTTCTCTTCCCTGCCCTGCTAGCACGGCGGACACGGCCTGAGCAGCCTCTCCTCTCAGTGGGCTTCAGACGTGGGTTCACTGTGGGGGGGCCACGAGAAGGCCGGCCCCCTCGGCCTCTGGGAGGAGAGCATGAAGGGCCCCGGGCCCCTCGGCCGCAACCTGGGCTTGAGGAATAGCCGGAGCAGCCCCTCCCTAGGGTGAGTTGGTCTCCAGGGGACGGGAGGGGTGGGGGGTGGGGACAGCCGAGTTGCCCCCCCCCTCACTCATTCTCTGTCTCCCTCTCCCAGGGACGCCTACTCCGTCTCCAGCCGGCAGAGCAGGAAGAAAACCGACGAGGAGGAGAAGCTGCTGAAGCTGCTACAGGGCATCCATAAACCTGCCCAGGACGGCTTCACCCAGTGGTGCGAGCAGATGCTGCACGCCCTCAACGCTTCCAGCAGCCTCGATGGTACCTTGGGGTGGGGGAGGGGAAGGAGGGGGTCTCCAAGGGGGAGGGGTCTGCGGGCGGATCCGATGGGAGGCTTACGTGATTCGGGAGGGAGTCCTCGCTCAAAGCCACAGAGGGGGGTGTGTGTCTCTCCTGGGGAGGGTGACTACACCGGCCGGTGTAAAGAGCAGTTGACCGCGGTTTTGTGGTGGAACTGTTTTTGCCCACCCAGAGGCACGAGAAAAGCCTCTGGAGGCCCCCCACCCCAATCCTCTCCCCCCCCCCCAGTGCCCACCGTGGTCGCTTTCCTGAAGGAGATGGAGTCGCCCTACGACGTCCATGACTGCATCCGCTCCTGCCTGGGAGACACCCTGGAAGCCAAAGAGTTTGCAAAACAGTTCCTAGAGCGCCGTGCCAAGCAGAGAGCCAATCAGCAGCGACAGCAGCAGCAGCAGCAGCAGCAGCAGGTGAGGGGGCGCCTGCCAGGGGGCGCAGGAAGGTGGGGGGGGGGACGCAGGTGTGCTTCCCCCAGGAGCGGTTTCCTTCGGGTGGGTCCGTCTGCGGATCTGAGGCAGCTCTGCCCCTTCGGATGGGCACCTGCCCTGCCGGCCCTTTCTCCTCCTGGCCCTCAGGCCGCTCCAAGGACACCAGGCCCCACCTTGCAACTTCTCTCCCTTTGCTCCCCCCCTCCCCCCAACAGGAGGCCTCGTGGCAGTCGCTCTTCCCGGCCAACCACAGCCCCAAACCGCCATCTTTTGAGAACAGCCAAGCCGTGAAGATCAAGAGGCGCCCCGTGATGCTGCATGCAGACCCCAGCATCCTGGGTGAGTGAGGAGGGGGGCTGGGACACGGCTGCTTCCGGGGAACTTGGGGGGGGGGGTTAGGGGCGCTTGGTTGGGAGGAGCAGGTGGTGGCCTAGCTCTGCCCTCCTGGTACCGGGGGATGGCGGAGCAGCTGCTCCCTCTGTCGGGCGCTTCCCTCCTCGCCACAGGACAACTCGGTGCGGGATGACCCAACGGTTCCATTTAATTATTTAAAGTAGCTTTAAGAACTATTTTAGGAGTGGGGCGTCAGCCTAGAGGGGGAACTCTCGCCTCACAGTAAGGAGGCCGTGAGTTCAATCCTAGGTAGAGCCCGATATTTCTCTCTGGGCACCGTGAGAATATATCTGCTGAACAAAACTCCGCCCTTGCAACAGGGATGGCATCCGGCCAGTAAACACACTGCTAGCTCCATTCAGTTGCCCAGACTCCATCCTCGCAAGGGATGATGGGCTCGTTAAATGAAGATGATGAGTTAAAACATTATTTTAGTT